AGACTCATATGTGTTAGTATACACAAAGATATGCACTTATTTTATTGTTAGTAAAAATTAAATTATAAAAATTAGTTTTGCTATGGTTTTTAACTTATCAAGGTCAATTTTGAATGTCAAATCACTTCTTTGATTGTAATACATAGGTTACATATGATGCCCATTTTGAACGACTGCGACCCGCGACCTTGCGGCGTACAAAGTTTTCAAAACTTTACGCAGACAGACCACACAAAACACCAAATAATATAATAATAAGAAACTTAGAAAAATATAAAAATGAAATTTTTGAGATATCCAATATGACACCGTCGTGTCATGTAGTAATGATACTTAAACAATGACTACTTAAATTCTACACATTTCTATGTCATTTCAGAATATGATGTACTTATAGACGTCGCTTAAATAAGTGTGTTGTTGTTGTGTGAAGACGACCGTCAAGAGCGGCTATGTTGTTTTTAAATACCTATCAACTTTATATCATTTACTATTTTTTCACGAAACAGTTACTATTATGGTCGTGAATTACATTTTCGTAACTTGGCTCCGTTGCTCTGCGACACCTCGCGTGAGAAACCGCCGGTTTACTCTAGTGACGTCACGGTGCCAGCGGAAATACCTTGTAACGACAACGGCACGCGCTCATATCAAAAGGAATTTGCCTTATAAGAATGAAGTACATTAAATGTACTCGTACGTGTCATTTAATATATTGTTTTGTCTTCGGGCGTGCGATTTTTCAATACAATTTGCTGATTCTTTAAAATGCCCCGACACGTCGACGCGATTGTCACAAGCTTAAAATCAAGAAAAGGGACATTTCCTTCACTCATAGCAGCTTGACGCGCGAGGAGGCGCGGTAATAAGTCACCTTTTTTTTTTGGATACCCCAAAGGCTTTGGCGTCTGCTTTTTCATTAGGTCTGTCTAGTATTTGATAAAATGTGGCAACAATTTCTCACAGACAAACAACGCGCCATTGTGGCGAGACAAAGGCGTGACGTCACAACGCATATAAACACAAATGTGTGGAAATACCTAATGCACGTTTTGCACGTCCGTGGCCCGACTCTCGCAGCGCGTTGCGCGTTGCACGTAGTTGCATAAACTTTATGCGTAGTTCAATATGGACACGAGCCGTTTATTATCCGACTACAGCGGAGCCCAAAAGAAGCAATGAATACATAAAAAATAATAAACATTAATTAAGATTTAATAAGTTCAGTGAAGGTACCATTTGTAAGTCAATTTAACGGACCTAATCACGATTGTTTTACTGCAAATAGTTGAGGAATTTGATAGTCTGCAGGTTGTCCTGGTTGCTGCATCAGATCACATTTACCATCCTATTATAATGCCATTTTCATTTACATTAATACACTAAATTTCAAGACGACTACGCAACAGCAAGTAAAATAAATCTTCATCTTATGGCTGAGATATCTACACTGTCCTAGGAAAGAGCTGAGAATCTTAAAACAGATGAACAGACGTTAAATCCGAGCTATGCGGCTTCGTCACTTTCTGATTGCCGCATGAGTGCCGCATAGCCCTTGAATGACCACCGGCAGACCGCGTGACTCTTTGCGGATGTTTCAAGTTGTCTTTCCGTCACTCTCCTCGGACGAGAGCTACGCCCTGCGGCGTCACTCGAGACACTCTTTTCGATTGTTTGCGCAAAGTCTAATAATAATGAAGTGGGCACGCCTCCGCCGACCGCTGACCGGCTGCCGACGACCGTTGTCGCCTGTCGCCGCCGTCACGTTCCCGCTCCGGTCACGTGCACGTGCCGTGACGCAACGCCGCCGCGTGAGCGCCGTCCGAGCCTTGGCCGTAGTGGACGTCATTGCAATACTATTGCATGCATGTACTTGCTTACAGTCGGGTTTTTCGTTTGTACCCGATTACGTCAAGGGAACGTGCGCGCTACGCGAACCGTGACTTTTGCAGTGCACACTTTTAAAGATATCCTCTACAAATGGCTGAACCACAAGTTCTCGTATCAGTGTGCGTCGCTATCGCTATATTTATTTACTGATATGCTTCCCGAAACGTG